ATCCATCCATCCATCCATCCATCCATCCATCCATCCATCCATCCATCCATCCATCCATCCATCTAGACAGACAATAAGTCAAAAAAGTCCATAAACATGTAGAAAAATCTGTATTTTAAAGTAAATTGCTTAATGCTTTTACCAAAGAACAACACATTAGGATGCAACAAGTGTCAAATCATTTCAGTAATTATTAAGTTACTTTGATTCCAAATAGAAAGCTTTAAAATTTTTAAATGTTTGCTAATGAAAAGTTAATGTTTTGGGCCTAGCGCCAGCTCTGATATACTTCATGAAAATATCCTCTTACTATCTAATGGAACACCGGCGTGTCCTAATATGGCACCGGTTAGCTATTTTGGGCTAAAAGCTATGCAGCGGATAAAAGGGGATGAGGTGCTAACAGAATGATCTGGAGATTAGGGCTGCAGTTTCCATTCTCGTAGCGATGGTGGCCTGGTTTCACAGCGGGGCTTAGAGACGCTCACATATATCCCTGCCAAGTTATCTCCGCACCAAGCTTGGCCTATTATCTCTACAGTTAGACAGTCCATCAAGAACAGTCACTTAATTTTATATGAGTGTGAATCAATAAAAGAAACCAGGTGAAAACACGCAGCAGAGGAGCTGTGAGTACTCTGATTGAGGACAGTGACATCATATTAGGAGCCTATTAGTGCTGCAATCACAAACAGGTTTTTTCACAATTTGTTTTGGAAAAATGAACGCATGACTCAGTGGGTGACTCATTCAGGCAGACATTATGTTGCAGTAATGGTCTGAGATTTACTCGTTGTTCCTATGTTTTACAACGCCACATTTAGGAATATTAAGATTTTTTTTTATGAACTGACCCGTCTGAAAATCTGCAAACTGTAAAAAGTAAAGAATAAGGTGGAGCTAAAAAGCTTTCCCTTAAACCCGCTTTACCTGAGGCTAATTAAAGATGATTTCCAGTCAAAAGATGCCCCCAGCAAGCAGAAATTAAAAACTAGGGCTGCAACTGATGATTATTTTGCAAATGGATTAATCTGTTGAATATTTTTTGTGATTAATTGATAAATAATCTGAAAGCAAAATTTTCCCTAAAGAAGACTTTTTGCTAAAATAAACCAGACGAAACTAAAGCTTTTCCACTTGAGGAGTTCTGGATAGAGCATATTTAAAGACAAAAATTATTTTTTCATATTAAATGCAAAA